GTCCCCCTTAATCACCCTCTGTGATAATCTCCCTTGATCACCCTCCAAGATGGTCCCCCTCGATCAATTCACAATATACATGAAGAGTCTAAATAAAGAAAATATCTTCCAACACATTAAGTTCTTCATCATCTGCTTCATTATCTGAGCAAACAGAATACAGCGCTGAACGTTTATCTTCATAAATGCCCCTTGAAACTTGAGAGTATCCAGAGTCCGTTGAGTCCAATATTCCGTCCAGTACAACAGGTTCTGTAGGATGTGAACTGGGGTAAAATGCATAGTTTGGTTTCCTTGATGGACTTGTTATTGTTGGTTCATCTTCCATTTCATGGACAAGATCGACTATTTGGAGAGGGTAGTTGAGTTCAGGTACCTGTTCAAAAGCTGACCTGTCTCTTTGTTGAGAGCTAGTTCTTGATACCCAAGGCTCAACTACCTCCTCTTTATCAAAGTGATTATGGCCAGAATATCTAGCCTGATTTCTTGATGTGTATAAAGAGTATTGTTGATTTGAAGTTGTTTGATTCTCATTGTGGAAATCTTGATTGGCTTCATGAACTAATTCTTTCTCTCCAGAATAAATTATCCCATCCACTTTCCTCACATCTCTTTTGGGAGGCTCTTCAGCAATTCTTGATCTTTCATACAGGTTGTAACTTCCAGTAGAAGTAATAGGATGTCTTAACTTTGGCTGCTGACCAGAATAAATTATCCCATCCACTTTCCTCCCATCTCTTTCAGGAAGCTCTTCAGCAATTCTTGATCTCTCATAAAAGTCATAACTTGCTCTAGATGTATTAGGATGTCTTCCATTTGGCTGCTGACCAAAGTGAATTATCCCATCCACTTCTCTCCCATCTCTTTCAGAAGGTATCTCAGTAATTCTAGGTCTCTCATACAAGTCGTCACTTGTTCTAGAAGTAAGACGTTCACTTAAAGGGAACGAGGCCTGTGTTGAATGCAATGGATACTGAGCAAGCCCGTAATGCTCTCTAATTCTACTTTCTTGCATTCTTCGGAATTCCAGATCAGAAGCTGTTGACCAATCAATGGTATTTCTTGTGGCTGAATGGTTGCGATAKAGGGAGAACTTGAACTGATCAGCTTCATCTGGTTGGATTATTTCCTTGTTAACTGACCCTCTAATCAATTGAGGTTGTTGTGAACTGTGTTTGGAAGCATCTCTATCTGCATAAACAGCTTGTTCTTGTAAGAGACTTGGTGGATGACTCTGGTTGCTTCCATCATGGAAGGGTGTTCTTTCACTTTTTTGGGGCCTAAGGATAAACAGGATATACAGTGTATTGTAACTGTCAATCAACTGACTCATTAACCAATGACATGCATAACTGGAACTGGAACTTCCCTGGGGTGGGAAGGTAATAAAAATAACCCCAAGTATGGAAAAGTTCAAGAAACTTGTTATTCCAGTTCCAGACCCTTTTTGACCTGTCTGGTGAAACGAGTTGCTTAAACGAGCAAGCCAAAAGGGTCTGGGACTGGATTAGAGACTTGTGGGTCTGCAAAGAATTCCTATGACCTTTTGTGAGCGATCATATTTTCACCTCAACTTTGAATAATTTTTCCATGAGAAAAGGTTTCCAGCGAAAGTTCCTGTGACAATACATGTACCTCATGCTAACCCTCTACTTGGACAAACTTTGACTGGCAAATCACGAGAAAAGGATGACAGKGTAGACTCTGACAGGGTAATTCATATTTACATGATGTACCTTTTGGAGCTTGTTATTCTTCTTATTGTTGGTGTATCTCTCTGACCTTTGTCCTCATTCTTGATTGAAGCAGAATGCTGGGGTTGAGAATACTCACTTTCAATTGGAGTGGGTACCAGGCCATCCAATGGCGATTCCTGTCTTGGCTGGGCTGATGGCTGGGGAGCTGGGGTTGGGATGGGAGTTTCTCTGATAACAGGTTTAGCTGGAGTTGATGGTTGTGGCTTTAAAACAAAGTTTAGAACACTTATTATTGAGAGTAATAATAAAAACAACTACTTACACGAAGAAGCACTAATTTCAAAACGCTGCGTAATTCAAATAWATGACTCATTTATACCTATAATAATACCTTCTCAGAGAAAGGTTTTGTTATGAATGTCAGTCCAAAGCTGAGAAAATTTTGTSTCAAATGAAGAAAGGAAAAGAGGATGGAGTATATGACATCATACTCTCAAAATCCTATGACAGAATTCCTTTAAGAAATTGTATCAAAGTCTTGTCAAAAATACATTTTTGTTATTATAGGGCCCTTWTTGATAAGTCTGCAAGAATTTCGTGCAATTTTTCATCCAAGTAGCCCTTATTAAAGGGCAAAAAAGTCTTTAAAGAGACTAAAGAAAGTGCGAAAACTCAAGAACACAATTAAGTGCAAATTATAACCTGTTTAACATGAGCAGTCAGTGTTTGTTGCTGAGATTGCTGTCTTTGCTGGAACAACTCCAACTGTTGTAACTGTTGTTGTAGCTGCAGCTGCTGTTTCTGCAACTCAAGCTGTTGTTGTTGTAGCTGTAGCTGTAGTTCATACTCACGGCAGTACAGTCGATATACAGCATCTAGCTCAGCTGAAAAGGTTTGTGAAGTATCTGACTGGGACCTTGATAAAATGGAAGGCATTGATAATGTTGCTTTGCATTAACTTAACAGTCAGTAAAATATTCTTCAGAATACTACATGAATACTGCCAGACCATGAAATGACTCACAATTACTTATTTTGACTGAGGGAGAGAAAATAAGCATATTTGGAGAAAAACCCTTGAGAGAGGGAAAAGAACCAGCTAGTACTCAAATCAAACTCAAATCACATACTCCTGGAAATCAAATGAGGACCAAAGCAGGGATAGATCTCCAGTGCTTTAACTGTAGATTTAACATTCAGAAGGAGGCTACATGTATGTCTATAAGCCAGGTTATCTAATTATTATTAAAAGAAAACTACTATGTTCTTATTGTATGATTACATTACGTACCTGTTGTTGGCATCAATGAAAGGAGGAGGAAAAGGTCTTCCAGCATTTGGCCTCAAWACTGACATGTCAAATATTTTATTGGCATAGACAGGGGGTTCCTGTTCWGTTGACTTTGGTGGAGGTTGATGTAACAATGACTGGTTATGGCCTCTTTGTGTCCTACGATATTACAAGATGATCATTTAGTAATATGATATCTTAAAAAAAGGACCTTAGTCATGATGTTGAAAGTTTTTACTGTATTAATCAATAAACCCTTGATATTTGTGACTTAAAAAAGAGATAGACCATGGTCATTATCAACAGAAATTCAGTTGAAGTTGTCAAAGGCCATTTCTTCTTTAATTGCTCACATCAAGGTCAATTTGTTATATATAACAATTGTATAATAATAATTTTAGCCTTTTATTACAGCTGACTGACCATCAATTTATAATCAAAATTGCACTCCAAATACCCCTAAGCCAGCAGGGGACCTCTAAAACTGATGGGGAGTCTCATGACTGAAAAAACTGTCTTTTGAGAGAAATTTATTTTATCTAGTACATATAAAATAATTGCATCAAAGTTCAATGTACATTTTAACATCTGACCTTTCATGGGCTCCCTGTGTTGATGTCATGGCCTGGAGGCTTTGCTGTTCAGCAGTTGATGGCCTGACAGTTACAGGAATACTGCCTGTGAAGTGCTGTRCTGCTTCRCTCYTTASTGGTAAAYCTGYRCCCTCRTGACGTGGACGAGCAAMTTTCCTGATGACTGGACTTTCTTTGGACACACYCTCATGTTCCTTTGCCTTCTCATGCTGYAATGTATCAGTCTGTGWAGTGTGCAATTGTTCTCTTGTAKCAGGACTGGTACGTTTAAAAATAGTTTTTGGTTCACTAAATTCCACTTKCTTGGCATTGTCAAGAATCAGAGAAGTGCTTGCAACAGGTGTTGACTGTCTTTKYGATTTGTTGGCAATGGTGTTTTCACGTTGTGGAGACTTRGTCCTGTCATTTCCTGGACTTTCTGTCAATGATTTTTGAAGCTGTTTTCCAAGTGAATTTGTAGATGGAGATGTTTGAGTGGTATTACTTGATTGCTGGTTATTAAGATATTATCAATTAATATCAATAATTGTTCTGATTATAAACAATATCATGGTTGTTCAGGATTTTTGCACRGGAACAAAAGTCCAGAAAAGGAGTACTTAACATTACAGATRCATGACATCTTGTTACAAATTTTTYAGAGACTTACACTTTTCTTGCTTTTTTTAACTTTACTTCGTTCTTCTTCCTTGTACTTCTTCAACAGTTCTTGCAGTTCTAGAAACCTTTTTTGTAAGTCTAATTAAATATTGTAAGTTAAGGATATGAAATTGAAAGTAAATATCAATTAATACACTGAACCAAATTACAATTCAAATAACATTTAATTTTAGTCTCATAACTTCCACTCTTGGCAATATGAACTTTAAGCAATACAACATCATATTTCACTGATTTTAAGAAAGGATACTTAATTTCTCATTAATATTACTATCATATTCTTCTTGTAAGATATGAAGTCTTTCTTCAAAAGCCATTCTTTCTTCTGTTAGCTGTGATAGAGCAAGTTCTCTTTCCTCTCCTACTTTAGCTAGTTCTTTCACTAGGTTAGCAACTCGTTTCTTGTCTTCAGGTCTCAAATCTTTTAAAGTCACCTTTGCAGGTGTTTCCAGCTCTGCTATTGGAGAGAATAAGAAAAACATATAGATTCAGTGGTCTCAAATTATTGGCATGCCTTTTTATAAGTATGATATGGAGAATAATATCTTTTGTTGAAGTTGAGTATGATTATGAAAATATTACATGAATTGGTTATGGCTGAGTATGATATGACAAATTATTGATTGAGTTTGAGTATGATATGACAAATTATTGATTGAGGCAAGTATGATATGAAGAAATATTGGTTAATAGACTTTAGTCTGTCAAATCATTGATTGAGGTTGAGCATGATATGAAGATGTGGTGAAGTTGAGTAATTTGATTATTGATATAAAATTTAATATGAATACAGTAGTTATACATCAAGCAGCTTTTATTCACAGAAGAAACATAGTTGAGCAACAATCAGGTACATGTTTTTGCAGTTCTCTTTCATAGTGTCAATTAGAGAGCCTGATAGTCTTTGTGCAAGAGTGTAAAAATTGTTGCACATGATATGATATTTATGAAATATTCATACCTTTACTACATGTATCAGAGACATCCTTAACAGGTACATCATCAATATCTTGTATTCTCTTGTCTCCATTTACTTTAAGGGTTTGAGTTTTCTGTGCTTTCAAATATTTCAGTGATTCAATTCTTGATCTTTTTGGTATCATCATAAGATCTGGCCTCCGGGGTTTTACAGGCTTTTTAACCATTGGTTTCTTGATGTCCAGCGATGGTTCCAGGTTGACTCCTAAAGAGTTCTAAATTGTACTAAATTCTCTTACCATAAAGCCCATATCCCCCCCGCCCACCCCTCCCATACATGACTTTTACTGTGCTCTCAAAAAAGATCAAACGATGTCCATTTGTTGCTATGATGAACATATTTTTAATCATAAAATCTAAGATTRAGTTCACCACATTTCCAAAAGATATGTAAAAAAATGACAAGCATGGAAGTTAAACGAGAATACATATCTTGCTATTCYTAACTTTCAAATCGTAGATTTATTTTAGTTACCTGGTACATGAACTTTTACAATATCGTTATCTAGATCATCAGCTGGTAACAAAATCAAGGATTAACTTAAGTTTATTATGTTTTTATTGTGTTTTTTTTTTTCATATATTTTGACTTAGATCTACAGATCTACATCTTTTGGTGTTATGATATATCCTGTGACTATAACAAATTCTAGAAACATCTTTTTCATCCTGTACAAGTTCTGTACCACTATCTAAAGCATACTGCATCGAAAGTTTCAATACCATTACAACTTCAAATGCTATCCACAAGTTTTGACCGAGCATTTTGCAAAAAATGCAATAATCAAGTTATAGAAGTACCTAATACATAACAACTCAATAAAATTAAGATAATCCATAATAAGGATACAGTCCTTGGTCCAATAAACATTCGTTTTTCCTCCCTGAATAGTCTTTCTTGTTGTGACCGCCATTTTTGTTTGTTCAAATATGGCGCCCAACTGGTGCTCATTCCCTCTCGTCCAGTTGGAGCTGAGAAGTCCGAAGGCTGAGTTGCAGAGAAATAAGTGAAAAGAAGAAAAAAGMAAATGGAAACAGAAAAAAAGGAAAATGGAATAGGACAAGAAAWTAAATCATGATGAGAAAAAATCGGGCGTACTATAGTTCCAGCACAGACGAAGGGCCCGAAGCGTCGCATGGATTTACGTAAGCCGAAGATACAAGTTTATACGAACCGCACTACCCAATTCAACAACAACAACGATAACGAATTACTGTGTCCGAAAAAAAAATTACTCACAATTAAATATGAATATTATTTTATTGTGCAAGTCAGTACCCTGCTAATAGAGGGTCGTAGAGGAAAATTCTAGTCCTCTAGCTTGCGTTACCAGGAGTTTCTAGCCGCTCCGAGGGAGTTCCTCGTCCGCGGCGGCTTCAATGATCTCCTCAACGCGAACAGCAAGCAAGCTAGAGCGCACAGACATTTAGATTGCCTGATTAATCACACTGATGGCGTGCGCGTGTGCATTTTTCACTCTGAATGATGAAAAACCCATCAATCTACAGACTTGTCGTGATTCCKGTACAATTATTGGTGTCTTTGTCGTCCGATATCGCAGGTTCCTCAGGAATTGTCGGTAGTTGGTTGCAGCATTTCCGTCGACTGTCACGCACGTCAGCAAAATTATTAGAATTCRCTGGTGTGACACGTGTAGCTTTAGAACTACGTTTGCTATCAAATTGCTGGGGTAGCGACTTAATAATAGTTTTAACAGCATTGGCAATATCAGGAATGCGTAGACAGTATAAAATTGGGTTTAATGATGAGTTCATGTAGCCGATAGGGTCGGCAATRTTCCACGCGGCACGCGTGGTACTTGTCATGCCTACCATTACTGTCAAAACCGTGACGCACCCAAAAGGCACATAACACAGAATTACAAGACCAAGAACATACAGCATCGTCATAAGAAACTTTTTAGATCGCGCCAATTTGATTTCCTCGTGACCTTGATGCAGTTGCATTCGTTGTAAAAGGTTTTGTCTCTGAATCCTCAACGATCGAAACGCCTTGATATTAGCAACAAAAATGACKATTAAAGAGATGATCATGACGAAAGMAAGACCAAAGAAGAATTTCTTTATACTTAGCCACATGCGCAAAGAYGARCCTGTTGCACAAACGGTCCATAGCACCARCGTTACCATGCCAACACGATATGACGTCACTATAGTTCGATATTCCAATGGGCTGTTGATCGAAAGAAAGCGGTCAACACTCATCGCRGCCAGAGTAAACAACGACACGCCAGCTGTTGTATAAGATACAAGTGATCCTATAGCTCCCGTCATGCAATACGATGTGACGTCACCTTTCATTTCTAAAACCACGTGACTTACGTAAATCGGCTCTGCCAAGAACCCAATTACAAAGTCGGAAACTGCCAGACTGCACAGATAAAAGTTGTACGGCTTGTGAAGACTTTTAGTTTTGTAGATTGCTACGACAACAAGTAGATTTAGTATCGTTGTTGGGATTGACAAGAGAGAACAGACGGTGCACGTGAATATGTAGCTCCAATAAACCTGTTTGACCGGTTCTGGGTCGAACGTCTTTGTCCAAAAACTGCAGTTTTGGATGTCACTGCGAGTTTCTGCCATTGCTTGACTGCTGTTCATGTTATTTTCAATTAGAACCYCACGGATCTGTAGGAAATTTGAAATATAGATGGAAAAATTTTTWAAATTATTTTGATTTGAACAGTTTTACATATTATTGCGTTCAAACTGAAGATATTTGATGTATTTTTGAAATTTGGAGGAAGAGGCCTCCTCATGATTCAAGATGGCGAACGCGCGTGTATCATGAAAAAGATTATTTTATAACGTTTTTGAACAAGTGCATGTTACCTTTCCTACGTCCTCCGTGATGAAGCCGACGCAGCCCGACTTTGGTAAASTTGCAATTCTTGTACTTTTATCATGTTTACTCAACTCGAACTTATACGGCTTCTTTTTCACAAATGTCACTTCAGTACCCTGACATAACTACGACCAGAACTCCGTTGTGGTATCTGGAAAATAGTACATAATCACTGGAAAAAATCGCGCGCTTTAAAGGTTGTAAATTTGATGTAAATATSATGTAAGTGTCCAAAATTCTGTAAATTTGATGTAAATGATTTCCATTAAATTTACAGAATTTTGGACACTTACATMATATTTACATCAAATTTACAACCTTTAAAGCGCGCGATTTTTTCCAGTGAATGTTTGTAATTCCCAGTTTTTCTCCTTGTTAGTAATTCGAAGTAATGCATGGAGCAACCTTTACGGTTTTGCGTTTTTATTTTCAGACACTCATTGATATGCTAAACCTATTGTATATATAGCTTCAGAAGCCATAATTGACATGTAAGAGCCGCGGGCTCTACTGACTCAATACAATCAGCTGTCCACCTTTTTCAAACATTGTCAACTACAAGTCAAAATCTATCTTAATTAAAGCCTTTGAGCAGCAATAACTGTTGTAAGGAAATAAAAGGCAATATTTCTAAAGTTTAGAAATGATGAATGTATCTTTTATAAAGGAGAGTTTGCATGCAAACGGTCTGAAACGCCGCCAACTTATAAGTGCAGTCTACCGCTTTTATCGATTTACAACCTTACCTTTTTTCATTACTATTTTTGATTAACACCAACGCACTTCACACTGACGTTAGTTATTTCTAGACGAAGCTATTTATCGTTTTACAGCAAAGCAGTTAATGAATTAAGCTGTTTTTTTACTTCCTTCAGCACGAGGGGGGGGGGATTATTGAGGACTGACTTCCTGAGACAATCTTCACAWAGTCAGCTATAACATGTTTTCTTGAATAGTGCATGTTCAAAACATTTTGAAGAGTTGAGTTGTCTCAAACAAATGTATCTTACAATGCCAATATCGATTCTATAGTTTGTTAAAAAAAAACACAAAGCTATGATTGTAATAGGAATATGAATACTGCGTATGGTTGAAGATGGCACTAAACCCGTAAAAAAACAATAGACAGAATATGTTTGTACAATTGAACCTCTATTAGCGATCACCCATAGTACAGACTTTAGCCAAGTGACCGCTTTATATAGGTTGACCGGTTGATAGGGTGATAGATGTTTTATGTGTTTAGAATGGTTTTTTCGTCTTAAAGACTCATTTTGTAGATATAATCGCAATAATCGGGACAAAATTGAGTTTCGATAGAGGCTTAATAGAGATTCGACTGTATTTCGTATTTCGCTTCAATTCATATTTTTCGCAGCTGTTATTCTATTAATGATTATAATTAATCTAGGAGCTAGTTTGTAATTACACCATACTAACAAGGACTCTTCTCACTTATCATGTGCAGTGAGTTACCCTCTCAACCCTCGTAACACATCAAAACAAGGCGTAACGGAGCTGTTCATTGAAATATATAGGAGTCTAAAAATACTAAAAATATATGATCTACAAAATGCGTTCCGAAAAATTAGTCATTATTTGACCGTTTTTGAGTCAAAAACAACCGCCTCTTTAGAAGTTCCCGGTCTACCGTGTGTTTTCCGGTATCACACATTGTTCAATTTCTTTCCTTGATTCTAGAGCAAACTGCTGTTACTGGTAACTTTCAATTAGCCTTAATAATTACAGCTTCAATGTGGGCCTCTAGCTTTATACAAGTTTAGATCGTCAAAGAAATGACTGAAGGATAACATAATGGAATTAAATCGCCGCATAACATAAATAAAGATAAAGCTTTAGAAAATAAGCATTAGCACAAACGCACGCATAAGTAATAGTAACTAGAGCGCATTTCGTATGACTATGCAACGCCACGGATCACAACACGGACACGGCACGGCACGGTAATGGTGAAGGCACAAGAATTAAAGAAAAATAAGTACACATTTGCTTTTCAAGTCTCACAGAAATAGAGGACATTACATGGGCGCGCGGAGATACGGATTTTATCTTCGAGTGTTGAAATCTCTCACGAGTGAGCGTAGCGAACGAGTGAGAGATTTTCAACACGAGAAGATAAAATTCGTATCTCCAAGCGACCATGTAATATTCTGTTTATCATATAATTAAAAATATGAAAGCAAATTATGTTGTAAAATACCTATTTTCTTTCTTCCACTATATAGAGAAACCTCGAATGTGAAAATATCAATTTTACGTAATGGAGAAATATAGGTATTTCATAGATAATTATATGATAAAAATGTTTCTTCCTTATGCCTGCTAGACCAAGCGAAGTCAAAGCCCCAGGCCGTAGTGGTAGATCCAGATAAAGAAATAATTCTGAGTTTATTGTTGAAAAATCGATTCTATAATTGTTTTCAATATTGATGTTGATACTTTAAAAAGAAAATATAAACACAATGAAATGAARGTAAATAAAAAAGCAATTATTATACATGGCCTTGTTTGTCAGTAAACGATTTCGAAAATTCTCCATTGGACCGCATAATATGCTACACAATTGTGATTAGTTCTTGCTGAAAGGAGGTCGATTTGGGAAATGGCTATATATATATTGTCCCTATAGCTTTAGTGTAATTCACGTAAGCTCTAGTCAGTAATATAACGCGCTGTTGACATGTAAAAAGACGTTGTTTCTAAGAGTTACAACCCTTCAGCGTAGCGCTTTTTTATCATTAATTACCTAGAGTCTCCATCTTGTTCATAAACAATTCAAATTACCTTTAYGCTTTACAACGCAACCTTTTTATCCTGAAGGAAGCTTCAAATATCCTCTATTACCAATTCAGTTTTCACAATATCAAGTACGAGTTTACCAACAGATTTCGACTTATGCAATACACTTTTCGTCCGGCTCAGTTGACAAACTAAGGCTGCCACTGGAAATGATCCACCTATTGGGGCTATTGTCTACTTGTCAAACCATTAGAAAATACGTTAATTGTGTTTCGTCAGCAAATGTATTGGGCGCACTTGAGTCAGTTCCGATAACATCTGAAAGTTTAATTCAATCTATGACRCGAAGCTCGGACAACCAAGTCAACCAACTAAAAGTTTGTGACAACGATTATGAGAAACAACACTTAAAAGCGCACGAAAACAGTGTATCATAAAGCAAACAAACTTTCTTTTAAATGATAAACAGTTATAAACGATTATATGTTGGTAACTACCTTTTGTTCTGTATAATTCAA